GTTGTGTTACGGGGAGGGTTTATGTAAAGGGGCCATTAGATATCAGTCTCACCCGGAGCTCTGTACCTTACAGCATCCGTTCTGAACTTTCGGCATTGAAAGCTACGGTGGATGAAGTTCATAAAACGCTCTTTGACCAACACACGAACTGCCAATGCTACACGGGACATTATTGGGAAGTGGAACATGTTCCTCTTCTTCAATGTTGTTTTTATTCATATAGAAATCCTCTGCTATTGGTAAATATTTCTCAGCTTCCATGTAGACTGTTGAAGAGGAAGTCCAGTGCACAGGGGAGGAAGTCTAGTTTTTCTGATATAATATGTGGCAGGCGGTGTGGAAGTGAAAATTGCAACACTTGGCGAATCAGATGTCCAGTTTCCTCATTTGCTCGATTGACATTCTTATAACGCAGGATAGAAAAAGGTGAAAAACACCAACTGCTACGACCATACACCTAGCAGCAGCATCATCATATACCGATGTGCAGTACAAGACACCATCATATCCAGCTCGATTGCTTAGGAACAAGTCAAAATGAAATCTTTCTCTTCTCAGCAGTCTTTGTAGTGAGGCCTCAGAGATCCTCCATTCTGGGAGCCGGAGTGCTGGGGATGACTCCATGGAGCATGTTCAGGATCTCCTGGCCCCGATACTGCTGACTGGCAAATTCTTCTGCCCTCAGGCGTCCGAGGAAGCAAAGATGGTGGAGCCTAGATATGGTTTCTCGACTTGTCACTAATGATGCAACACAAGGATTTAGGTCAGTGGGAGGTTTATTAAGGTGGAGAAGACATTATAAATGCATTAGAAATCCATTAGATCACCATGACTCCAAAGCCTGTATGGAGGCCACCAGTTTCTCTCAGTATAGATTTCCTTGAAAGTGAATCGTACTCAAAGTTAAACTTTTGATAGTAGCCATCCTTCCTCGTAGATCCCAAGAGGTGCCTCCTATTGCCTCCCTAGTAGACCTCATCAGATGTCTCCTATTGCCTGCCTAGTAGACCCCATATGATGCCTCCTATTGCCTGCCTCGTAGACCCCATATGATGCCCCCTATTGCCTGCCTAGCAGACCCCATCAGATGCCCCCTAGTAGACCTCATCGGATGCCTCCTATTGCCTGCCTAGTAGACCTCATCAGATGCCCCCTATTGCCTGCCTAGTAGACCCCATATGATGCCCCCTATTGCCTGCCTAGTAGACCCCATATGATGCCACCTATTGCCTGCCTAGTAGACCCCGTCAGATGCCTGCCTAGTAGACCCCGTCAGATGCCTGCCTAGTAGACCCCGTCAGATGCCTCCTATTGCCTGTCTAGTAGACCCCCATCAGATGCCTCCGATTGCCTGCCTAGTAGACCCCATCAGATGCCTCCTATTGCCTGCCTAGTAGACCCCCATCAGATGCCTCCTATTGCCTCAACTAGTCAGCACCGTACAGGAGCCTGCTGTTGGTTAGGGATCCTCAGTGCTCCCTGGATCTCGTCAGAAGGACCACAACATAGCCCTTGCTTAGGTGGCACAGGTGGAAGGTATGGGGGTTTCTACTAACTTCTTTCCTGTATTTCAGTACAAGGTTCGCTTTAAGGTGACCCTTTTAGGGGTTCAACCAAACCATAAAAGAACGAACCTGTGAATAAAAATGCTTTTTAGATGCCGGTCTATCGGTGTGTTTGCCAAAACCTCACCCTGCAGCAGAGCTCCCAGCACTACTTAGATTCCTCAGGCTGGTCAAATAACAGGTCACCCTGCTGACCCCTAGTCACTGCAAGACATAATGGTGAGGTAGGGGTGGATGGGAACTACAGCTGCCAGTAGGGGACACGCTCCTCCACACACCTGAGCTCTGCTACAATGCCAAGCCTTAGCAAATAACAGATGGACAGGTATGTATAAAGCGGCTTCCTTTAAAGTTCAGTTCTTTTGTTGGAACATTAACAGGGTCACCGAGTCATTCCAGAAGCACACAAAGTACCATGTCAGCCACTGAAGAAAAAAGGATTGGAACTCTATGTATACTTTTCTCCTGGCAACATTAGAAGATGAAATGTTTGATTTCCAGTAAATGGCATCACTGACTCCTAGGTGAAGATAAGTTACGTCCTCCTGCAGCAGCACCTAGTGGTCTACTATTGTTACTACAGGATTCGGTACAACCTTAGAGGCCATGGTCACTCCAGCTTCTACATGCAAAGGTCCTTCCTAGGATGGTGAGTGCCTCTATTAGACATCCGCTTGCGGTGAAGGATTGCCCAGGCATGAGGGAGGGAAATTGGTTGACAACATTGGAGAGGATCCCATTAAACATTCAGGGACCCGGCCTGGCTTTCATGGAAAATTCTACCAGATGGATTTTGAAGCATTGCTGGATGACTTTGGTTGTCCAAGAATGGAGCGTTGTAAGCTGGTGAAATCTACGGAATATTTTTTGCTTCCAGTCTATAAAGGGGGGGGGACTCTTGGCACCCCTTTGCTTTCCAAGACGGAGCGGTGGCGTTCCAGACTCCCTGGGACGGGGGGCAGACATGACGACTCTTGTCTTTTCTTTCCAGCACGGAGCGGGTATAGGAGGCCGTTCATACTCACTGGGACTGTTTTTAGTGCGCCTCGTGATCCATTACTACACTTGATATGCGCGGTGCCAGGTTTCCCTATCGAGGTAGTGGTGCTCGATATTTGGAGATCAGTAAGATTTGGGTTCTTCAGAAAGGCAGCGATGGGAGGTCTGGATAAGGGTGTGGAGGAAAGTCACACCTTATTAGTCGTTGGTTGTCTTTGGCAAGCGTGTGGCTTTCATTTCCATCCCATCACTCCTTTACTTTCGGTGGAGTGCTTTGACAAATGACCGCACACATTAGGTGTAGAGTTGGTTTCTTAGCCCAGGTAAGTAAGCAGATTAGAGCAGCCTCTCTCAACCCCAGAGGAACCTTGGATGTATTTTCAGGTGTCAGGGATCCCCTGCTACAATTAATGCATGGGGGTCAGTAGAAAGAATGCCTCTATACAGGGAGCTGTGACCTGGGATAATCACAGGAAGGGTAGCGGTAACTTTGATGTGCGGGTCATCACTGGTGACCTGGCCACAGCTCAACTGTTTCCTACATGCCAAGCCCCTTATGTAATAGCACTTTAGTCGCAGCAGGTCCTCTTTAAGTAGGAGACATTATGGGTCTATTAGACCCCTAATTTCACTTTTGCAGCCCATTGAACCTGATCAAGTGGAGATTGTGCTTGATCAGCTTCTTCAGCCAGGGAATGACCGCTCAGACAGCAGAAGTGACTAAAACATTGCTGCTTGCATGGGGGAAATCACAAACGTACAGTCGCTGGTCTCTCGCTCCTCTACCCGCTGACACTTGAGATGCCAGTCCCAGAGGAGGGGCTGCAGAGCCTAGGAAGCAGGGCGGGTGGGCGTCGGATGGGAAACTTACTCCGGCCTGTGAAGTGATTGGGCAGCTGTCACTTCCGGTGTAAAGCTTATAAGTCAGTTTTACAAATGTAAAGCTGTAACCTCCGGGAGTCCGGGGTGCCAACTTATGGCATACATCAGTGGCAGCGAAAGGGTTCATATGCCATTTTTCTGTGCCGAGTGTACCAACACAAAAAGGAATACCACGACAGACCACATTCATACACCAGATTTTATTCTTAATCCTCACATCCTAATAGTAGCAAAAAAAAAAAATAGATAAAAAATAAAGCCTTTTTTTTTTTAAACCTGTGGAGCTTTTTAAAAAACAAACACAGAAAGATCATTTTACATCCAAAAAGACAAAATATATTACGAATCAAGGCAAAAAAATAAAAAATATTAAAAAGGATTAGGAGGGGACAGAGGGAGGGGTCAGGTCTGATACTCATTTGTGCAATTAGGATGCCACAATAGTGTCCCAGCTTGGAAAGAATTCACATATTACAAGCAAAATGAGTCCCGCCCCCCACCCCAGAGGAGCCATTGAGAGCAGATCCAGGCCTGGCAGAAAAAGAAATGTTGGCAGTTCAAAGACTCCCCGAGACCACGTAATCCCCCCCTCGTTCCCCCTCCTTTATCCGCAGGGATCGAAGCCTTGCATCTCCATCTCCCTCAATTCGGTTTAAAAAAAACAGTAAAAGAATAAAATAAAAAAAAACTCCAGTAAAATCACGACGTCACAAGTATCTCATTAACTGGCCTCCAGATCCCTCCCCCAGAAGGATCTTTGCCGAGATCCCTTCCCCTCAAGGAGCTTGGCTGAGATCCCTCGCCCGAGGATTTGATCTTCCACCTCTGCATTTCCTGTTTATTCACAGCGTTTATGTCCTAAAAATATATATAAAATAAGAAAATTGTCGAGACGGGGGAAAGTGCAGGGTGGCAGTGCAGCGTACGGTGCGCAATGAATGTACCGACCCACTTGGGGAGATTTACAAAATAGACACAAATAAAAAGATAAAATGGCCACCACAGCAAAACTGTGTGTAGCTTGTGTACGCGCAGGTCACACGTGCACACAGGGGTGACAGTTACACGTGGGCGTATATGCTAGATCAGGCGAGTAGGTATGCAGCAACCACATAAGGTTTGATCGCCACTTATTTACAACGCCCCCCCACCCACAAATGTACACGTGTGAATTTCCTATAGAGTCTGTCCTATGTACAACCCCTATACTGCCATATAGCCCTGTGCGTGCTGATTCCAATGTGATTATAGAGACAGTCAAGTATATGATGGTGTACATGTACGAGACCACAAGACAAGAGTACGCCGACATATACCACAACCTCCGTCGCGGTGCCTGCGCAGCAGTTGTGTACACTCTACTGGCCCCACCCCCATTGTGTTGAGTGACTCGCTATGTACATACACACACGTAAATGCTGACTGCCCATTAAAAATACACCTTGCGTGTATGTGTGTATAGTTGTGTAAGGTCTCCGCTCAAAGAAAAAAAGGGAATGAAATCCACTTGTGGCAAATAGAGGCGGAGTCTCCAGTGGCAATGGGGCGCAGCCTCTAAAGGCAAGGCTAGCAGTAGGCCTCGTCATCGTCCTGGTCGTCTTTTAACCCCTTGAGTCTTAGGCGGGCGAAATCTTCGAAGACGATGTCGTCATCCTGAAGGTAACTGAACGGAGACAAAAGAAATAGAAAATGTCACGGGTAATTCAATTCACCTTCATCTAGTGGTAGGCAATCTAGGGCACTCCCAGCTGCGGTGAGACTACAAATCCCACCGTGCCTTTGGCTTGCCATGCGTCATGGGACTTGTAATTCCACAGCAACTGGAGTGCCGAGGTTGCCTACTACTGCATCTATCTATCTATTACTGTTCTACGTTGCATGCAGACGGCCATTTAAGAGGCCGCCCCTGCATGGGGATGCGTCAGCTAAATTGTCATCATGCACAATGCAAGCATCTAAATAGGATGTCATTCATTCCTATGATTCCCACTGCACTCAGCAAAGCTGCCCAGCACACATACACACCCCCCAATTACTATTATACAGGATTTATATAGCGCCAACAGTTTGCGCAGCGCTTTACAATATAAGGAAGACATTACAATCACAATACAATTCAAGACAAGACGGTAAGGAGGGCCCATGCCCCTGACGGCTTACAATTCAAGGAACCCTATAAGCTGCTGAGAAGGGGGTGTGCTCTGGCTGCCCGATATAGGCAAGGCTCAGACAACCTTTATCATGACCCTCTGTACATACCCCAATATAGATCTATAGTTCTTAGAAATGTCTCTTCACAGCTGTACAGAGCAAAGAAATATAGCTGGGGCGACTCCGTCCCCCGTCTGTCATGTGACAGTGCTGAAGCTCGGTGATTGGCTTAGCACTGTCACAGGGGAGTCACTGAAGTGACTCGGAGCCTACACAGGACTCCCTTCCACTGTCTTATATTTTTTTGCCCCCCAAAAAAACACACTAGGTCTTATTTTCAGAGATGAACGAAGCACAGGTTTAAATTAAGGTGAAGATACCAGATAGTATTAAGGTGACACTAAACTCAGGCGTTACCCTTTAGGTTACAGTTCTTGAATGTATTTTTAAAATGTATCTTATTTGTGTGTCACTCGGCTGTAGATCCTCAAATCATCTCTGAATTGGTGCTGACACTGTCCTTCCTTCTGGAGGGGGGCTACTTTTGTTCCCCATGGTCCCCGTGTGTGTTCTAAATAAGACATCGCTCCAATCTCACTCCCGTCATGGACTACAATCTCATGTTTGTATTGAGATTATAGTGAATCACAGAAGCGAGCTTGGAATGGTGCTGGGCATTCTACTAAGAAAGCCTAGCACTGCCTGCAGCATTCTTAGCTAAGCAGGGTTGAGGTCATGTCCTTCACATGGAGCTCTTTCTATGGCCTGTTTCACAGCAGATATATAACATGGAGCTTCTATTCTTGCTTGAAAGGAATCCTATGCAGAGAGAGTTATGGGGGCCATCATTGCTTGCCACATTCTGAAAATGATGGTTGCCTGTTGGTGGTTGCAACACTCAGTCACTGAGCGAGAACAAGCATGCCACAAGTGAATTTGGAATGTCTGATCTGCATACTAGTATCCAGGCAGTGCCTCACAAAATGTTGAAGGCAGAGAGTTGAAGGCTTTCTATATGAAGAGAGCCCAGACTGGGAGCTTGAATGTTTTACTCAGGATAAGTTTCCATGAAGCCAACAACGAGGGACTATTACAACTCCCTCCACATTGGCCTATCTCTCCAGAGGCTATCATCTGTTCCGTCCACCATGAATGCTGCTGCCGGACTCATTTACCTTTCCAACCGTTTAGTGCCCTCCATTCTTCTCTGCCAACCTCTCCATTGTCATCTAATCACCCCCAATGAATAACATTCACAATACTAAACATAAAAGGCCTTCCACATCTCTGCCCAGAGCTACATCACTAACCATAGGACCCAAGCCACCCTCTTAGCTCCCCCTACTCCATCTCCCCCCATGATGGCCTCCAGGACTTCTCTAGAGCCTCTCCCATCCTCCGGAACGCCCTACCCCTAATTTGTACAGATGTCTCCTACTCGATCTGCCTTTAGGAATTCCCTGAAATGCCATTAGAGAAGCCTACCCGTCCCAATCTCTGCGACACGACTGGCCACAGGAACATGAACCCTTAAGTATACACTTACTTTGTTTCAAATTCTATGAGATTTGTGTCAACAGGCACATCCGTCTGAGGGAACTCTGGAAAGCAAAAAAAGATTGAGCATGTGAGAAACAAATATGCAGTGTTCGTACAAAACTTAATGTGTATCTAAACCCTAGGACAAAAATTTAATATAGTGCATCTTATATCTTGAGAGAAGTTCATTATTATGGTTTACGTACTTTAAAGGGACCATACAATGGTTTAGGTTAAATTCTATTATATAGTTTCTAAACTGTGGTTGGGGGCCCACGGTGGATGCCAAGCCGTGCGCGTGTTCTTGACCAAAGTGGTCAAGTACTGCAGTGGAGGTTAAGGGCCTGGCATATGAGTCATTGTGCTTCACAGGAGTTCATAAGCATGGGAGAGCAGACGGCACTTTGTGCTATCATGTGTTGAGATCTGGATGACGAGAAACATTGACAGTGCCCATTCAGGGCAAAGCAAGTGTCTGTAAACACTTAAACACCCCTCCCCCTTGACCTACTTTTCCAGTGGTCCCCCCACCACTCCTTGCAGCTGGCACCAAAGTACCCAACATCAACTGGTGTCAGAACCAACAGGGAGCAGTGATGCCACAGCCTTTGCTTGGCAATTGACCGCCAGACCTGAGCACAGTTGCATAGGAGATGATCACATGCTATTTTGCACAGGGTGAGGTAGGAGTGGCAGGAGGATGCCGGAGAGGATCAGTGTATTTAGTAAACATATAAAAAGCATATAGAAGAAGAATAACCTTTTATCAGTAAAACATATAATTTTTGGATAACAATTGCATTTCCTGAACCCACTCACCGGATATAGGTCTTGGTGCTGGCTCTGGGGGTTTTGGATGCATTAGGACAAAAGGCAGCTCCACCGTGACATCCCTGCAGAGACAAAGTCATCAATTGCTAGTCCACAGCCTATTATTCCAGAACAACACTCCTCGCCTACACCCCAGAGTAGTACTCACCCTCCACGGGACACCACCAGTTTGACTTTCACTCTGTAAGAGACGAGAATTCCCAGCACTTCTTTACTGGATCCCTCCTTCACACTACAATGGAAGAGCGTATCTAAAGTCATATCGTATAAGCCGTCTCCAGAAGTCTATCTAAATAATACAACGTACAATACGTACATGGTGCTTGACGCTAAGTTTGTGTCCTCGTGCTTCAGCTTTCCGTCCAGGGCCAGACCTCGCTTCTCCCGGTTATTAGACAGAAGTGGAGTCAGAGTGTAAACTTTACAGAACGTAGAGCTGGGGGTCACCTGGTCACTGGAGGCATAAGAAAACAAAAGGTCAGGGGGTACCAGCAGGAAACAGGTAAGAAATGATAAAGGGGAGCAAGAAGGAAATAAACAAAGCGCAGCAAGAAGAGAAAGATGGGGAGAGAATGTAGAGTGCAGAAATACTGCAGAGGACAGTGTAGGATGAAAGGGGAGAGCGCGCGCAAAGCCAGGGAGGCGGAGCGCGTGCAAAGCCAGGGAGCAGATCAAATGACTTTATAGCATCTACAACATAGCTACCACACAATACACAAAATATAGCTGCCCTCCAACTGTCTGCCCCCTAATGGCACGGTCCTCTAATGTGAGCTATAAACAAGTATTTGGCATTTTGTATGGCGAGGGGGATCACTGTGATGCAGTTGGCCAGCTTTAACATGTATTGCAATATATTCAAACCAAGACCTGCTGTTGGGAAATTGGTAGAAATATACAAGTGTTTATAGAAACGTGAAGGAGGTGGATTCAGAAACTTCAGGCTGTGTGTATATCTGACATGTTACAGCAACAGCTGCATATTGTGCGACTATCCCGAGAAGTGTGTGTGTGTGTGTGTGTGTGTGTGTGTGTGTGTGTGGAACATACAGCAGACGAGTGTGGAAGATGAAGGACTCACTCTTGTTCTATATGAGCGACCGGGCACTTGTACTGTGCTGTGCTGAACAGGCAGATGTCTGCGTATTGCCGGACTGCAGGGAACAAAAAACACAATTAGGACAGGTCACAAAGCCAGTTTGATTTCGGTGTACTCATTGCAGGAGATGACGACATTGTAACCCCTATGGCAGGGAGATTGCAAACATTCCAAAGAACTTATTTGTCAGAAAGCCACAAGTCACTTCCTTTTTCACTTCGACATGATGTCACATTGTAACAGAGCAGGAATAAACCACTTGCTGGCATGTAACCAGGCAATGCAAACCTGTAGGCCCCATTCACACCGGCATCTCACCAATTCCTCTGCAAAGACTTAGCGGTGTTTATGTGAACAGCTAGTGAGCACCTTCAGGCATCGCGGCCAGCCGCATGTAATCAGACACGCGGTGAATACCTGTGGATGAACGGACCTGCAGTAATTACCTGAAGATAGTCACCCCTGAATGCAAACTGTGTGCGTCCAGGGGCGGTCATCTGCAGGTCATTACTTAATATCCGATCTGCTGCGGGCATTTCACATAAACACTGATGACTCAAGGGGGAATTCGTGAGACTGTCCCTAGTGTGAATGAGGCCTTAAAAGGAGAACTATGAGGTCAGGGCTTTTCCCCATAGTTCTATACTTCCGATCTACTGAGCCGACCTGCGACAGTTTAATTGTCACACGTCGACTCAGATTATGAGGCTGAGTGAAAATCACTCACCTCATAATTCTCCTTTAGGCCCCGTTCACATTGAGCGATTCGCAAATCGCGCGTTTGTCGCGCGATTTGCATTTTGCGCTATTTGTTGCGCGATATCGCGCAAATGCTTGCATCAAACACCATTGAATCGCGGCAAAATCCGCTCCAAAAAGGGTCCAGCTGTAGTGACACACGACCCGCAACAGCAGATCCCTTTGCCCCATTGCAAAGCATTGAAGAGCGATATCGCGCGGTAAACAGCCGTGATATCGCGGGAATTACTGCGCGATAAAAATCGCTCAATGTGAACGGGGCCTTAAAGATGAATTCTTTCCGATTTAAAGAAAATAAAAGGATTCTGCATAAGGCCCCTTTCACACGGGCCGATCAAGAGGGGGATCTGTGCTCCTGATAGGAGTGGAACGTATCGGATGCCACCACTGTGACATCCATGTCCGTCCAGTTTTCTCTTCCATCTTGCAATGGAGGAGAAAACGCAAATGACCGGACCTCATGTTGGCCTACGGGGGGAATTGGATGTAAACAGACTTCGATTACATTAGATTACCCTCAATCCGGCGCGATCAGGTCCAGTGAAATGGAACACCGTTCACTTACTTTTTCCAGACCTAGCTTGGGTCGGGGGCAACCGGATGTTAACGGACACCAGCCTGTTTGGATCCAGCTTCCTATGGACTTACATTGGGCATCTGATCGGGTCTGCCTGAAAAACTGACAGGCGGACCCAATCGTACCGCACTTCCTGCCCCAGGATAACAACACACACTAGAGATACAACGCACAGCTCACCTCTGCCATGCATACTTGTAAGGGGCCTTAAGGTGAAGCAGCAAGCGTGTGCCAGAAATCCATTGAGCCCCTGACTTGCTGTGCAATACCTTCTAAGTGGTGCTGAAATCCCAAGACGTGTTAGGCCTCATTCACACTGCCACGCATATGACCATAGAAAATCTGCAGATCATCTATAGGTGTATGGCCAGCTTAACCCAGTGGGGGAGAACCCTCCATCCACAGCCAGTGTATGACCAGCTTTACTTTAACAATAACCGGCTATTAATTCTGAGCAGTACTTGTGATTATCGGGCCGTGTCTCATGTGCCAGACAGTCATAACATGGGCAGGTCGGCATTATAAACAGAAGCCTAGGTGTCCATTTTGGACCAATAACCCTGCGGAGGAAGGATTTGCTCAGATCGCTGGGACAAAGGCAGAAACGTATACATCACATACCGGACACTTTCACCCTCTTGACGGTTTTGCCGGAGTTATTGGTCACGTGGACATTTACATTGATGGCCTCCCCGTGGTAGTACAGCTGCAAGGAGACAAAGAAGAAAAAAAAAGCAGATTCTTGTTAAAGGGTCGACTTTACGCTGACCGCAGCTTGCAGTTCTAAATTGGTCCAGTCTATAATCCACCAGGACAATGGAGGAGAGGAAATGAAGCTTCAGTTTTGTTGCTTTATAAAAAAAAAAAAAAAGGAGGGAATTCCCAGAAAGCCTTAATATGTGCGTGCTCCTCTATTAAAGCAGACTTCCGGCCTTCAGTCTTGCACAGTTGTACCGGTGTTCTATCGAAAACTCCAACTCATCAAGATCTCCAACTACCTCACTTCTGGTGCTCAGAAAGACTGGAGCTCTGTACAGTTGTTGTGCGCATGCGCCCATAGCGTTTTCAGAATACTCGTCGAGTTTGCCACCTGCTGAATATTAGGGATGCACCGATATATCGGCCGCCGAAACATATCAGCCGAAAATTGCACTTTTGGCATCATGCCGAAAGTGCCATTTTCCTGCCGATACATCGGCGCATCCCAGGTTTCTTTCCTCCCCGCTGGGCGCTGCTCTGTGTCCCAGCGGGGAGGAAAGAAAGTGACAGCCGGCCGAGCACTGAGTGGCCGGGGTCTCTCCTCCCACACCGCTCAGATGCCTATCACAGTCCGGCAGAGCTGTGTCGGGGCAGAGACAGGCCGCGCTGTCACATGTGGCCGAGCTCTCCTCCGTGGTCTGCTGGCTCAGCAATCTCCAACAGTACCTGGCAGTGAGATAGTGGGAGATTTAGACGAGTTGGAGCTTTCGATAGAACACCGGCTCCTCTCCGGGAATGAAATGGCTTCCTCTGATTTCACTGCACACGGTGAGCGTCTCACAAAAGAACAATACTATACCTCTTTGTCTAGAGAGGCCTCTAGATGTAATGACCGGTCTGACATCAAAAAGTTTCTGGTGGTCTCTGCTATTGGCTGAGGTCCGGTCTTCTCTGGGGCAAACTGTACCTTCCTGATGACCAGACGCACCGAGTTTCTGCAATGACAAGAGTCTTCTGATTAGACAGGTAAAAGCGGCGTACCATATCGGTGACATTGTTAAGCCGTCCATCGGATCTCAGTCTAAAACTTTCTAGATTCTGATCTATGCGTAGGCGGAACAGACAAGCTGGTGACCTGACTTTTCTCCGCTGCAGTTAGGCAACACACTGTGGTCAGCCAGCTGCCCCTAGTCTGAGGCTGGACAATAAAAGGAGACCGAAGAAGTGATCACCTGCAAGGGAAAGGAGCCACCCTAAGGCCTCGTTCACACCATATGCATGGCGTTCCGGTCCGATTCTGGCCGGAACGCACTGCCTCGCATTGCGGCCGGCTCATTTTTTTGTCGGGCAGGAGGGGGCGTGGCGCGTCATTGAAGTGAATGTCACCTTAGCCACGCCCTCCGGCCGCAATGCGATCGCAAGGCACATTGTGCACTATTTTGATCACACTGCACTGGACCGATGTGCCTTGCGATCCCGTGCGGCCCCTGGGTGTGGCTACAGTGCCAGTCTGTGACTGGCATCTCTCTGAACTGAAGGTGACAGTGCCCACAGTGCAGTAACTGCTCTGTGCAGAGTGTCAAGGGGAAGATTTTTTTTTTAGCACTCAACTACTGGTCTCCAGGTACCCACGTCCAATCATTACCACTGGGGCAGTCGCCATGCATGATGTCTCCATGATTTGAGCGCAGGTTTACATGAAGATTCTCACCCAGGTGTAGACAACCATGGCCTAGCAGCTGCGGTGACACTGCAAATGCCATCATGCCTGTGGCTGTCAGTCTTGCAATGCCCCATGGGACTTGTAGTTTGTCCACAGCTGGAATAACGAGGTGACCCACCCCTGTTCTAGCCCGTCTGATTACCCTAAAAGATAAGCAGTGCTGTTATAAGTCTAGGAGATGGGAAGGTATAACAAAAAAATTAGGTCGAAATGGGGTATTATACCCATGTTTTGTTTAAGAGGCGCAGAACTAAAAAATACTACCTTTTGTGGTTCACGCCAGATTTAAACCAAAACATTTAATTTCCTTTGGCTTGCAGCCTTAAAGTGAACCTGCGCCCAGACTATGCACACTAAAGTATTTCCATGTCTTGAACAAGTAGTAAAAGCACAAAACACACACTCACTAAGCTCTGTAGCTGCACACACTGTGGAGGAATTAATCTGCAAAGTATAGAACAGAGGCCCTGAAATTGCTGCTTGTCTCCACTTACTTCATATAGCAGCACAAACTTGGCAGCCCTTTAATGTAACCGAACAGCAGATCCAACATGAGTATCTCCTTTGATCTTTGAGAATAAATTCCTTCACAGTACATGCAGCTAGGGAGGTCAGTGAGGGCTTGTATTAAAGCTCCAGTGCTTATAGGAGCCCTATAGGACTTGTTCACACCAAATTCAGACGCAGTGTGTTGTACCACGTTTTCTGCCGCGGTTTTGATGCGTTACGGGCATTTTTCTTTTAAAGTTTTAAATGGGCGTTCAGTGAGTTCTGTGACGTTTGTGATGCGTTTGCATGAGTTCCACAGCAGGTAAAATAGGGCCTGCTGCCGGGTTTTTTTAACATGCTCTGGAACTGAACGCTGCGGTGTGAACTAGAGCCCAAAATACCATTGGAATACATTGGACGCAGTTCTGATCTGTTCTGTAACTGCTCTGCTCCTGGAACGCGCTTGGTGTGAACTAGCACTTAGAAGCTGAATTCTTGTGATTGCTTTTCATGTAATAAATACTTCCCATTCCTGTGAGCTACAGAGAGGTAATGCAGCCAATATAGAGATAATCATTGGTCCCCATGAAGCTGCAATTTCTGAAAAAAGCTATT